CAGACAGACAGACAGACAGACAGACAGACAGACAAACTTTAAGCTTTTTAACACAGCATTTAAACGCTGTATAACCCTTTCTTTCAGAAAAGGGAATAGTTCTAGTAGAGAATGAAATAGTGCGATCATAATTGGTAGTCATAGATCTTCACTTCGTTCTTTTCTGATTGACGACTTCTAAACGTGCTAAAATTTTCTTGTTGGTGTTGTTGTGGCTTCTTTACAAGAACTACCAGTAGTTTGCCATCTTTTTCACATGTGACCTGACATTCAGCAATTGCTAACGACGTTAGGTATGGTTCGTTCTGGACGGTTTTTTCAGTATCCACAATACGATACGTTGTCTGCGTTGAATCGTACAAAAGCCATTTGTTACTGGGCAGCGCCTGAATAGATGTGCAGGGATGATTTAGATGAATAGTCGCACAGCGTTTCAATTCATAGTTGTGCAATACAAAACGATACCGCTCTTCACGTTTAATAGCCAACGCAATATACGTTCCATTGATACTGATAGCTGTAATATCTTCCGACGGTGCACAGGAAGTGGGTGGCGACCAACAATAAAGAAGATACCATTCCGCAAAATCATTCTTCATCTGATAGACAAACACACGATTTGCTGCATCAACGACAACGCATTTCGATTTCCAGGATGATAAATATTTGAATCGTTGATTTGCAGTTGTCAACACAGTCTTGCACACCTTTTCTAATGCATCAGCAACCATAATATTAGAAGCATCTAAGATGATGAATTGTTGGAGCCATTCAGACCATTTCAATTGAAGTGGTGATGAAGAAGAGTTGCAGGCAAAGGATGACGTGGATTCCCTATGAAAAACATGTCTCGTTATGCTGTTCCATTCATTTTGGATTAGCATTGTGGAAGAGGCACAAATATAACCCCTGCCGTTTACTTCCATGCTCACGGATGGTTTATATTTTTCCAGGAATTGTTGAATGACTGAATAGTACTCATCTGTATCAGAATCGTCGTTGGTCTCGCTCTTGTCTTTAGTAACTGCTTCTATTTCAGGCAATTTCATTTGCACCATATTTGAAGAGTCGAGCGATGGCAACGCTAACCGAATGCGTCTAAAAGACGCTAAATCTGATAAGTCCTGGTTGAGAAGTTCCGCTTTAGATTGAAGTTTTCTTAAATCCGTTTCAAAATAATTATCATTGTTTCGAAAAGAATTGATTTCATCGGTCAACTCTTTGCATTGCTGTTCTAGATCATCAATGACCAAATCTTGAAATTTCCGTTTCGCAGTATTAGCCGTATCTTCCACTGTCTGTAACATCTCTTTTTTCCAATCTTCGATCGGCTTGAAGGTCTTCGCGGGAATTTGCTCCGACATTTCTTCAATACATGCTCGTGCGCTATCTCGTTGCATACTAATACCATCGAGTTTATCCGATAATACCTTTCGATGTTCGACAAAATGGTTAACACAAAACGATTTCTGACACCCTGCGCACTGTACAATGCCTGGCTTTGCTTTTTCTTCATTTGATTGCAGTATACAAGCAACACATTTATCTGCAGGTGTACTACATGCAGCCATGTTGTCGTAGAGCAAGAAAAAAACAATTTGGTTAACCAGACAAGTGAAGAACAAACATAGTATTAGCGGCGTCCTCGCTCGAGAAACGAAACTTAATCTGTTTATTCGAAAACAGAACAAAGAAGAATGTAGAAGAATGATAAGAGAAAAACAGATGGAGAATGATGTGAAGGTATGTTATGAACATGCCTGTAACACATAGTAATTCTATGGGAAAAAAGCGCATATTTCAGTATAAAAACTTTTTCTCTGATTAAACGCAAACATCGGTGGCTTGTTTTTATTTCAAAAAGCTTTTTTACACATAGAAGCGCCGCTGTTCTCATTAATTTTTTTTTACCAGATAATGAAAAAGAAAAATGTGGTTAGTTTTCTATTAACTATATTCCTGATCAAATTGTAACGTAGATTCGTTTTTTCGATATATATAATCAAATCGCAGTGTCACTCTTATAAAAACGTCAGAGAGAAAAACAAACTCCCTGCTTTAGCGGAAGTATATTTTTGTTAGTCATTGAATGATTCCTGCGAAGATGAAAGAGAAACGTAATAATGACGAGAAAGTTAGTCGGCTTTAAAGGAATTATACAACATCACTTCATGAATTTAGTTTTATATGCGAATCATAAAGTAGTACTGTTGAATTCCTAAACAACCACATACTAAAGTTTTTTATCGTCGATCAATGTATAGTCTACTCAGGCCCAGAATGCTCATTATAAATTCAAAATAGAGGCTTCAATTTCAAATTTTGCACGAAAACAAATCCAGCCGTTTTTATGCGCAGTATCTATGGAAGGTTTCTGACTAGACCTGATATTTTCACGGATGGAAAGAAAAAAATGAAAATCCCGTCGCTATAAATATGCATTCGCTGTTGTCGATTGCTTTATAATACATCTAAACGATCGCAAGGATGCCACTGATACCCGCCTGCTTGTTGGCTTTCATCGCATGTGTTATTAGTTACAACTGTGGACAAGAGATCATCACTGAACAAAACTTTGCCTGTGTATTCAATGCTATCAGTGCTGCAGTAAGAACAAGCCGCTTCGATGGTCTGAAGAAATCGGGCTGGAAAGCATCGAATATCGATGAAGCAGCCGTGTTTCTTGCGCATGTCTTTCACGAAACTGATGGACTGAAAACTGTGCGAGAATATTGCGCACCAGGTTGCGGTACGAACTATGCTGGATCGTGGTGCTCAATTAAGGGCAAACCCAATAAATTGTATTATGGTCGAGGTTGGTTTCAATTGTCATG